CAAACTCACACTCATCTCTTACCATAATCTCCACCAACAACTAGAGTTGCTCTGAAATACACATCTACTTGTTTAAGTCACTTACTTTAAAACGTCTAGGAGCTCTAATGCCCACAAAATAAGTCCAAATTTCATGGTATCTTAGTCTGCTTGGGCTGCCATAACAAAATACTATAGACTGGAAAGTCTGAGAATGCCAGACATGCCAGCATGGTTGGCTTCTGGTGAGAGCTCTCTTTCTGGCTGCTTTTTCACTGTGCTCACATGGCAGGGATAGAAAGCAAGCAGGGTAAGTGCTCTGGTATCTCTTTGTATAAGGGCAGTAATATCATCATGAGGGCCCCACACATGTTGACCTCATCTAAACCTAATTACCTCCCAAAGGCTCCATCTCTGAATACCATCACACTGGGAGTTAGGGCTTCAACATATGAATTGCGGGGGGGGGGGGCACGATTCAGTCCACAGCATATGGTATGATATTCAAAGACTTTTACAACTACCTCTAAGCTGGGTATTCTGTTTTATCTTTTATTACTCCACACCAGTGCATTCTGGGGCTCCAAGAACATCACATATAGTTCTCAAAACACATCATATACTTTCACAGCACTATGCCTTTGCTCATTCTGTTTACTCTGCTTAGACAGCTGTTCCACCCTGGCAAACTATTATGTTCCTCAAATGTCATCACATCCCACCTGTTTTGTGAAGTCTGCTTGGATTTCCTCTTTTTTGTACCCATATCACTTCTATCAAATTCAAACTGCCTGGATTCAAATCGTAGTTCTGCCAGAGTTTAAATGTGTGACCTTAAGCAAGTTATTTAACTTCCTTGTGCTTCAGTAACCTCATTTGTAAAATGGGGATAACAGCACTTATTTCATAGAGTTTTGGCGTGGGGAATAATGAGTTACTATGTGCAAAGTTCTTAGAGAAATGCCTGGCACATAGTAAGCATTATATAAATTGTTTTCTGTTACTATATCATGTTAAGTGAAGACAATCAGGATAGAAACTTTTATTTATGGGCTGTAAATGTAGGGAAATGGCTCCACTATGGCATTCTGGCAACTGTGCACTATTCACATAGGCCACGTAAGCAAGGCTCAACTTCAGTCTGCCCTAGGTCTTGGCAGAACATCCTGTGATTCTCTTAGAGCATGAGAAGATAGGCAGTCTTGTGAGGAGTTGCCTCAAGGCTGTTTCTTATCTGTCTTTCGACCTTGGAGGCTCCCTATCTTGCAGGAGGATGCCATGATGTTTCAATGAGGCATAGGATTTTCCACCTCCCTTCCCCTGGGTATAGAGGCAGGCTGTTAAACAGCTTAGCTGCAGTCTATAGTTGGCTCTTCAGCAAGAGTGCCTCACTACTTGTGTCACCTGTCATCTGGCTCCTGTAGTTCAATGTTGTCCTGTGGGGCAAAGGGACATGGGGAGCTGATACCATGCTGATCTTGCTTATGCCGTCTGTATAAGTAATAAACTATATCCTTTTGGACTTGTTTCCTTATCGGATGGATCTATGAAAATATGTGCTGCTGCTTATGGACTATTTGACCTCTTAACAGTTAAGCACCTGCAGAGAAGGAGAACCTTATATCTGTTTTGTTCAACACTGTATGTCAAGTGTCTGGCCTGTAGTAAATGCTCAATAACATTTGTTGAATTTTAAAAATTACAGAAAACAATGATAAATATGTATTCAAGGATATGTATCAAATCCATTATAGTAGAAGTCTTGTGGGGAGGGATGGAGAGTATAGAAGATAAAAGAGAAAATATAATTTAAGATAAAATAAGACAGAGGCATTCTACTCATGAAGTTTAAGGAAAAACATGCATGTCACCTAGGAGGAAACACCCTCTAGACTCTCTTATATCAGTGTAAGAGGCATTGTAAGCATGACCTTATTTTCCCAACTGTAATATAAGGAGGAAAGTCTAAATCAACACTTTCAAACTGTGTTACAAAGAGCCTCAGTTTTTCTCCTAGGAGCTGCCTCATAGATGATAGCACCCTTTTAACCAAGGCAGTAGTACGTGTTTTATATGTTAGGCTTTCTCACAGAATTTTGTTTGAAGAAAAGAGTTGGCAGCTAAAAACAAAATAAAACAAACCTGCAAACCACTGGCCTAGTTCTAGCTCTAAAATTAATGTACAGCATGATGACAATAGTTAATAATACTGTATTGAATATTGGGAAATTGCTAAGCGTAGATTTCAGGTGCTATCACCACACACACCCACACACACAAATGGTATGTGAAGAGATGATATGTTAATCAGCTTGACTGTAGTAATCATTTCACTATGTATATGTATATCAAATCAATATATTGTATACTTTAAATATATACAGTTTTTATTTAGAAAATAAAATGCCCAAATATAGATTAAGGCACGGGAAGTTTGGTAACTACAAACTCAGGAGTAGAGCAGCAGGCATAATTTGGATAATGGAACTCTCTGGGTTGGGGTTAGAAGGAAAAGATGGAAGGTTTGCTGAAGACATACATATTCTTAACTCAGAATTTTGTTTAGGATCAACACTTTGATTTAGGACTCATAAATCTTGCTTTCTTATTTGGAGTCTGGGGAGGGTAAAGAAAAGGTGGTTCTTGTAAATTTTTAAACCCCAAATCAGTTCTTGTATTTAAACAGATTGTTTGTGTTCCTATTACCTTCCTCAGCTTAAGCAGAGGGCTTCTTCTTAAAGTCTCTGGGTCAGATTGTTACATAGAGACCAGGTCCAGGACCCAAATAACATATTTAGCCAATTCTAAGGTGGAATTTTCCTCACATTTTTATGTTTCTGTTATTGGGATGAATCACACAATGTGCATATTTAATATAGTAGTATACCTATTTTTCCTATGTTACTAAACAAATGGCACATCTACAATTTGACGATGTCTTAGAGTTGAAAAAATGCCATATTATTAACAGGAATAATAAGCTTAAAAATTGTGCAAGAAATGTCTGAGATGAGGTCATTAACCTCTGCAGTCGGAGTCTTCCCAGCAGGGTTAAGCAATGACAGTGGGTGTCATCATTAATATGCCTATAGGATAAAATTCAAGCAGCAAATCTGTTTTCTTTTTTCTTTTTTGAGAGACAGCTTAGCAGTACACCACTGTCCACAATTATTCTTTACTCTTGTTACACTCAATGCTTACCCAAATAGGTCATGCTATTTCATGCCTGGATACCTTTCCATGTGCTCTTACCTCTGTTTGGAATGCCCTTCTTGGAATGCTGTCCACTGGAGAAATCCTATCCACCTGGTGTTGATCCCTTTCTGCCCTTTCTGCTTCATGTCACCACGTACCTGGTATATGCCTCTAAATATGTACTTGCCATAGTGAACTGCAATGACTTTTTAGGTGTCCATCTCATTACCTGTAAATTCCCTGAGGGTAATTGACTGTTTCTTATTTGTCTTTGTATCCCTAGTACTTAGGACAGTGTCTGGTATGTAGTAGTATTTAAAGATTGAATGTATGAAGAAAAAGAAAGAGAAAAAGAATGCTATACATGTGGTGAAGTGCCATGGCACCAACAAATGTTTCATCTGTTTCTGGCATTCAAAGGTGTCCATGTCTTATCCAAACCGTCTGAACTCCTGGCAAACTTAAAATTGTCAACAGTGAATTTAATTGTTAATAATAAAATGGGTTCATTTATGTTAGTTTAGTCTCCCCAGTCAATTTTAAGCTCATTAGAGGGAGGGATCAAGTCTTTTTCTGTACATACATGTTGAGTTTTAGATAAATTGTGTACTCCTACTCTGAGGTGTGATTTAGTTTCCAAGATTCTTCATTCAGCATACCTTTATTATTAATGCTGGGAGCAAGCTGCATGAGGGAAATGGAAAGGCTCACAACAGTTTTATTTATTTAGGGCCTAGAATTTCTTTAGAGTTTAGAGTAATCCGCAATACCAAACATCAAAAACATAATCTTACAGTCATTTAAGAGAGAGAAATTTGAATATTACTGGTAAAACCCTGGGAGCTAATTACTTCAAGATCACTTGAAACCTTAACTCATTAAGTTTGAAAAATCTCCTGAGGTCCTTAAAGACGCTATTCCTATTATGTTATGTGATCCAATTGAATGTCTTAGATTTTGCTAATAAGAGAAAGCCTGAAGTTTATGCAAAAGAGAGAATGCATTTATCTTTTGCTTCAGGAAAAATATTAAGCATCTCCTATGGGTACTTCAGTACTCTGTGTTGTAGAGTATTATAAGAGAGGGAGGGGAAAATACAGATGCACAGCCCCTGATCTCAAAAAATAAATTCCCAGCACCAAACACCAGAATTACTAGTGTATATTGCCAAAGTGAGTTGCATTCCACACTCTTGGTTAGGCCCAGTAAGGAAGTCTTATTGATATTGTTGGTATCGCTACTGTTATTATACAGAAACAGTGGCTTGGCAAAGGATGCTCTTCAACATGCTGTAGTGTCATTCAGATAAGGGAGCCAAGTAACATTTTGGATGCCTTTTGAGAGTGTTAAGTCAGTAGTTCAGATCCAAAATTTAAGAAAAAAATCCCCTTTTATGTCCCCCAATGTAAGTTGAGTCATTAAAAGAAATACAGATATAAGAGATAAGACCAATTCAGGGAAGGAAATATTACTTTTTGATTGACTGTCACTCATCAGAAATTAATAACCAATCAGATGACATGTATGGGACAGAACTAGGATGAAAGAAAATTCAGTCCAGATTGGGCAGTTTTATTAGGACTAGAAGTAGTGCGTTATGTCATATGATTCTGTTTATTTGTAAATCTTATCCACATGTGTAAACTTAGTTTATTTTGTACATGTTTGCCAATTTTAAACTGTCTATCCTATTATTCCCTTAGTACCTCAAACATAGCAACCACTATTTTTAAAGGGTTTACAGCCTTGCCTATGGCATTATGTATACAACAGTCAATTTAACTATAATGGTCAAATGGAAAATGGGGAAGAGGGGAGAGGCTTACCACTAGATCCTTACAACACGCAGTTGAAGGGTCCTTTCTGGTCAATCCCAGGAACATATCTTCAGTTCCCACCTGCTGTTTGAACACAATTTCATATCTGAAAAAAAAGCCAGTGATATAGAGACTCAAATGAAAGAGCAATTTCCTGTCACAGAGCAGAAAACTAGAAACTTATGAGGACATGCTATTACAAAAAATAAAAGGACAAAATAAATAAAGTGCTTGCAGTTTTTCAGGCATGTAGCAGAATATAAGGGAAGAAAAGTCTAGAAATTCAGTCAAAAATACCTAACACTGTCAGGATTTATGTTGTGTATACTGGTTTCTAAAAATAAAGCTTGACTATTTCAGAGCTATACAAATAAAATAGATTGAGGGAACTTCTAATAAGATTCTAATAAGAGTAAAAGCAGAAGAAAAAAGGAAGGTCCTTTCCTGGAAAACAATGGCTCAGAAGAATAGTGAGCCCATAATCCAGGGTTTGATGGATAGATGGAAACATTCCTCTGTTAAATTTAAGCCTCAGAGTAGAGTTAGAAAATCCAGGTTTAGTACTCTTTCTGTCATTAACTGTGTGATCTTGGTTAAGTCACAAACTCATGTGCTCAGCTTCCGGATTTGTACAATTTATGGGAGGGGGTGGGTTTGAACTAAATGATCTCTATTGTGTTTTCTACCTCAAAAATTCTACAGTAGAAACACTGGTAGTGTAGTCAGCACCGGTACAACTATAGTGTTTAGAATCTAGTCCTACAGAATTCTTAGTTCAGTGAAAGGTTTTCCTGGTATTTCACCTCACACATGACAATTCATAAATCTTTCCTTGCCCCCAAATTTGGGACCCCAGGGATAGAGTGGTTTATAGAAACCCCCAGCCATAATGAACTATATGTTTTTAATTTTAATTTTATTTATTTATTTATTTTGGTCGCACTGCACAGCATGTGGGATCTTAGTTCCCTGATCGAACCCACACCCCCTGCACTGGAAGCACAGAATCTTAACCACTGGACCGCCAGGGAAGTCCCTACCCTATCTTTTTAGATGGAATGAAGTAAGTAAACATTTACAAATATTTGAAGGAAGATTTGGTATTTGACTAGATATAATGAATGAGAGGAAAGCATCAAAGATGATGCTGAGGTTACTCGCTTGGGTGACTGGGTGAACAGTGAAGCCACTAACTGTGATTGGGAATGTAGGTGGAGGGGAAATGGTGAGTTTGGTTTAGGGTGTGTGGAGTGTGAGGTGCCTTGGGACATCCAGGCAAATGTATATAGTAGGCGGTTGGAAAATTGTATCTGGAGACATTGAACTTCTGACCACTTGCAAATAGGAATGCCCAAGGATGAAAGAGGGACTTCTCTGAGTTGGAATAGGGCTAACAGTAAATAGCTATTTGAGATAGGACACTTTTTTCTTAATAGACTGTAACAGCTACCAGGTATTCACAAAGGTGAAGCCAAGTTAAAACAAAACAGAAAGATATTGATCTATATGCCCAGGACTCCCACATGGATTTGCTCTAGCTATGCTTTCCTCTCATTCATTATATCTAATCAAATACCAAATCTTCCTTCAAATATCTCTCAAATAAAGACCCTCATATTTCTCTCCAAGGCCAGTGACTTAGCTCAGGCCCTTATTATTTTATATTTGGTAACTTGTGATTCTTCTTTTGTGATCTGCCTGTTCACCTTCTTTACCCATTTTCTTCTTTACCAATTGGGACAGTTCGAAATGTATTTGCATAACATAGAAAATAGAGATTAAAAAATCTTATAAAGCAATTTTCTTCATATCCTGACTGGAGTTCTTGTTCATTTAAAGCTTTGAGGGATATTCTTTCTACAGAACATCAAACATCAGGATGAAAAATTAAAATTTTCTCAGATTTGGAGCTTGCCACATATGGATGTTTGACATTCATTAAACTATGTGACAAATGAATGACTTAAATCTTACCTTTCATAGGGATGTGTGGGCACTGTATAGACATAACCTGGGATTCACTCCCTTCATACTTAAGATGCAGACAGAAATGTTTTAAAATCCCCTTTTTTTATGAGGTTTACTTTTTTTTACATTGTTTATTTGAAAGCTGGATACTTTTTTTCTACTTAATTATCTGCAGTCTCCCACTGCTTCTATTTTCAGAACTGACATAGAAGATAGAAGCATCGTTTATTTTTTTTTAAGCATTGGACACAGTTTTACAGTCAGAATTAGAAAAGTTCTCAGGTCATTTGCCATAGAAGTTTTCAAGACATTATAAAGCACACTATAATTTAATAAATATTGCCTTTGTTTTTCAAGCTATTCTAAATATTCAAACAAGATTTTATTTTAAAATACATATTTAAAGCTTAGTGTATTTAATCATTAATTTCAATTATGTATGTAAACACACTTTAATCCTTAACAGTATGAGTGATTTCACTTATTAGTATGAAAGGCTTTTTATGATAATTCTAAAATTCATATTTATAATTTCTACTAAAAGGCTAGAAAGCAAGCCTTTAATCCTGCTTGCACAATATACTAAACATAATCCTAAAATAACTAGTAAATTAGTCCAGGTAACAGCTGATAATTGGTGGCAGAACATAGCCTTTTACTAAAATTGTGGAACACTGAGTAATTAAAAGCAAGTCTTTGATACAAAAACATGGCATAATAATTTAGTTTGTATGAATGCTTGTAATTTAATGGGCTGGTTTTACCCACTGTTACTTCCACATTATACAACTAAATGATATTAAATATAAATTGATAATGGAAATGACTACTTTTCACTTTTTGTTAGATAATAACTGAAAGAAAGGTATTATGTCTTAATATTTGTTTCTGCTCTAGAAGGAAAAAACTCAACAATTACATGTGCCTTCTGTGTGTCACCATAGTTTTACCTTTTATGTGGTAGAAGTTACATTATGAATCTTGTCAAAAACAGACTGGTATCAGATGACACATCTAACTTAAACCCCAAAAAACATGTTCCTGGCTTCATTTGACTTACTCTGGTGTTTCTCTAATATCCCACACATCATGGTGCTCTGCCCCTTCTGGAACCTCCTCCGGATTCCAGATGTGCTCACTATTTTCATCACTTGTTTGAGGGATGACTGTGAAGAAAGGGAAGATAAAGTTGAAGTTTTTGCCTGTTTTACCCCTTGAAATTTCTCCTGTTCTTCTTCACACTAAGTTTGGGATCACTGAAGTGAAATATTTTCTATTTGTAATCGCTAGCTTGGTTTTTGGTCAGAGAAGCTAAATTCGTAACAATTGACTTAAATTTTTAATCAACACACAGCCAATACATTGAAGAGTTGTAATAATAATTGTAGAAAATTTGGAAAAGACATATAAGCAAAAAGAAGAAAATAAAATAATCTACAGTCTAACCACCCAGAGATGATCAATGATAGCATTCTGGTGTACATCTTTCCAGTCTCTCTCTCTCTCTCTGTATATGTGTGTATATCTATATCTATATCTACAGAAATATATATACATATATGTGTATATACACATATAAAACATATAATATATAAATATTTAGTACATAAAATAACATATTGTGTATAAAATATATATTATATACAACATATATGCAAAGAAATATTACACATTTTTTCAGAAACAAATAGGATCATACGTAAAATATTTTTACATAAAAGAACAAATCAAACATGCAATCAATCTGATTTGGATAGAAATACTTTATCTTGCCTTGTGTTTTACTATTTAAAAGTCCCTTGATACCTTTTCCGTGCAAGCCTGACATAGTTCTTTAAAAATATTATCAGTGAAAGAAACTGAAAACAGTAGAGACAATGATCATTTTTAATCCATTATTTTCCTCATATAGACATGGGCTCTAAAGAAAATCTCTCTCATTTGTCCTTTATGTCAACTGAGCACATGCCTGGGGTTTCTACGTGTCATATTTAAATGTTTGAAAGTAAATGGGGGCTCACACCAATGAGTACTTGCCAGAGCAGTTGCTGCCAGTGTCTTCGTCCCCACAGTGAGCCACAGCCACCCCCTGCCTCCTCAGGAGTCCCTCCAATAGTAGCAGTAAAGTTTAACCATTCAGAGGACCTTCAAGATGGCGGAGGAGTAAGACGTGGAGATCAACTTCCTCCCCACAAATACGTCAGAAATATATCTACATGTGGAACAACTCCTACAGAACACCTACTGAATGCTGGCAGAAGACATCAGACTTCCCAAAGACAAAAAAATCCCCATGTAACTGGCTGTGTGGCTGAAAGGGTCTTGGTGCTCCAGCTGGGTGTCAGGCCTGAGCCTCTGAGGTGGGAGAGCCGAGTTCTGGACCACCAGAGACCGCCTGGCTCCACGTAATATCAAACGGCGAGAGCTCTCCCAGAGATCTCCAACTCAACGCTAAGACACAGCTCCACTCAACAACCAGCAAGCTCCAGTGCTGGACACCCCATGCCAAACAACTAGCAAGACAGGAACACAACCCTGCCCATTAGCAGAGAGGCTGCCTAAAATCATAATAAGTTCACAGACACCCCAAAACACACCACCAGACGTGGCCCTGCCCACCAGAAAGACAAGATCCACCCTCATCCACCAGAACACAGGCCCCAGTCCCCTCCACCAGGAAGCCTAAACAACCCATTGAATCAACCTTAGACACTGGGGGCAGACACCGAAAACAATGGGAACTACAAACCTGCAGCCTGTGAAAAGGAGACCCCAAACACGGTAAGTTAAGCAAAATGAGAAGACGAGAAATATGCAGCAGAGGAAAGAGCAAAATAAAAACCCACCAGACCAAAAAATGAAGAGGAAATAGGCAGTCTACCTGAAAAAGAATTCAGAGTAATGATAGTAAACATGATCCAAAATCTTGGAAATAGAATGGAGAAAATACAAGAAGCATTTAACAAGGACCTAGAAGAACTAAGGAGCAAACAATGATGAACAACACAGTAAATGAAATTAAAAATTCTCTAGAAGGAATCAATAGCAGAATAACTGAGGCAGAAGAATGGATAAGTGACCTGGAAGATCAAGTAGTGGAAATAACTACCACAGAGCAGAATAAAAAGAAGGACACTACATAATGATCAAGGGATCAATCCAAGAAGAAGATATAACAATTGTGAATACTTATGCACCCAACATAGGAGCACATCAATACATAAGGCAAATACTAACAGCCATAAAAGGGGAAATCGACAGTAACACAATAATAGTAGGGAACTTTAACACCCCACTGTCACCAATGGACAGATCAACCAAAATGAAAATAAATAAGGAAACACAAACATTAAAAGACATATTAGACCAGATAGACTTAATTGATATTTATAGGACATTCCATCCAAAAACAACAGAATACACTTTCTTCTCAAGTGCTCATAGAACATTCTCCAGGATAGACCATATCTTGGGTCACAAATCAAGCCTTGGTATATTTAAGAAAACTGAAATCGTATCAAGTATCTTTTCCGACCACAACGCTATGAGACTAGATATCCATTACAGGAAAAATCTGTAAAAAATACAAACACATGAAGGCTAAACAATACACTACTAAATAACTAAGAGATCACTGAAGAAATCAAAAAGGAAATCAAAGAATACCTAGAAACAAACAACAATGAAAACACGACGGCCCAAAACCTATGGGATGCAGCAAAAGCAGTTCTAAGAGGGAAGTTTATAGCAATACAATCCTAACTTAAGAAATAAGAAACATCTCAAATAAACAACCTAACCTTACACCTAAAGCAATTAGAGAAAGAAGAACAAAAAACCCCAAAGTTAGCAGAAGGAAAGAAATCATAAAGATCAGATGAGAAATAAATGAAAAAGAAATGAAGGAAACAATAGCAAAGATCAATAAAACTAGAAGCTGGTTCTTTGAGAAGATAAACAAAATTGATAAACCACTATCCAGACTCATCAAGAAAAAAAGGGAGAAGACTCAAATCAACAGAATTAGAAATGAAAAAGGGGAAGTAACAACTGACCTGGCAGAAATTCAAAGGATCATGAGTGATTAATACAAGCAGCTCTATGCCAATAAAATGGACAACCTGGAAGAAATGGACAAATTCTTAGAAATGCACAACCTTCCGAGACTGAACCAGGAAGAAACAGAAAATATAAACAGACCAATCACAAGCACTGGAATTGAAACTGTGATTAAAAATCTTCCAACAAACAAAAGCCCAGGACCAGATTGCTTCATGGGTGAATTCTATCAAACATTTAGAGAGAGCTAACACCTATCCTTCTCAAACTCTTCCAAAAATATAGCAGAGGGAGGAACAGTCCCAAACTCATTCTATGAGGTCACCATCACCCTGATACCAAAACCAGACAAATATGTCACAAAGAAAGAAAACTACAGGCCAATATCACTGATGAACATAGATGCAAAATCCTCAACAAAATACTAGCAAACAGAAGCCAACAGCACATTAAAAGGATCATACACCATGATCAAGTGGGGTTTATCCCAGGAATGCAAGGATTCTTCAATATATGCAAATCAGTCAATGTGATACACCATATTAACAAATTGAATGATAAAAACCATATGATAATCTCAATAGATGCAGAAAAAGCTTTTGACAAAATTCAACACCCATTCGTGATAAAACCTCTCCAGAAAGTAGGCATGGAGGAACTTACCTCAACATAATAAAGGCCATATATGACAAACCCACAGCCAACATCATTCTCAATGGTGAAAAACTGAAACCATTTCCACTAAGATCAGGAATAAGACAAGATTGCCCACTCTCACCACTCTTATTCAACAGAGTTTTGGAAGTTTTAGCCACAGCAATCAGAGAAGAAAAAGAAATAAAAGGAATCCAAATCGGAAAAGAAGAAGTAAAGCTGTCACTGCTTGCAGATGACATGATACTACACATAGAGAATCCTAAAGCTGCTACCAGAAAACTACTAGAGCTAATCAATGAATTTGGTGAAGTAGCAGGATACAAAATTAATGCACAGAAATTTCTTGCATTCCTATACACTAATGATGAAAAATCTGAAAGAGAAATTAAGGAAACACTCCCATTTACCATTGTAACAAGAAGAATAAAATACCTAGGAATAAACCTACTTAAGGACACAAAACTCCTGTATGCAGAAAACTATAAGACACTGATGAAAGAAATTAGAGATGATAGAAACAGATGGAGAGATATACCATGTTCTTGGATTGGAAGAATCAATATTGTGAAAATGACTATACTACCCAAAGCAATCTACAGATTCAGTGCAATCCCTGTCAAACTACCAAAGGCCTTTTTCACAGTACTAGAACAAAAAATTTCACAATTTGTATGGAAACACAAAAGACCGTGAATAGCCAAAGCAATCTTGAAAAAGAAAAATGGAGTTGGAGGAATCAGGCTCCCTGACTTTAGACTATACTACTAAGCTACAGTAATCAAGACAGTATGGTACTGGCACAAAAACAAAGCACAAAATCAGTATGGTACTGGCACAAAGAAATATAGAACAATGGAACAACATAGAAAGCCCAGAGATAAACCCATGCACATATGGGCACTTTATCTTGATAAAGGAGGCAAGAATATACAATGAAGAAAAGACAGCCTTTCAATAAGTGGTGCTGGGAAAACTGGACAGCCACATGTAAAAGAATGAAATTAGAACACTCTCTAACACCATACACAAAAATAAACTCAAAATGGATTAAAGACCTAAATGTAAGGCCAGACACTATAAAACTTAGAGGAAAACATAGGCAGAACACTCTATGACATAAATCACAGCAAGATCCTTTTTGACCCACCTCCTAGAGAAATGGAAATAAAAACAAAAAGAAACAAATGGGACCTAATGAAACTTCAAAGCTTTTGCACAGCAAAGGAAACCATAAACAAGATGAAAAGACAACCCTCAGAATGGGAGAAAATATTTGCAAATGAAGCAACTGACAAAGGATTAATCTCCAAAATTTACAAGCAGCTCATGCAGCTCAACATCAAAAAAAAAAACAAACAGCCCAATCCAAAAATGGGCAGAAGACCTAAATAGACATTTCTCCAAAGAAGATATACAGATTTCCAATGAACACATGAAAGGATGCTAAACATCACTAATCATTAGAGAAATGCAAATCTAAACTACAGTGGGGTATCACCTCACACCAGTCAGAATGGCCATCATCAAAAAATCTACAAACAATAAATGCTGGAGAGGGTGTGGAGAAAAGGGAACCCTCTTGCACTCTTTGTGGGAATGTAAATTGATACAGCCACTATGGAGAAGGGTACGGAGGTTCCTTATAAAACTAAAAATAGAACTGCCATATGGCCCAGCAATCCCAATACTGGGCATATACCCTGGGAAAACCAGAATTCAGAAAGAATCATGTGCCACAATGTTCGTTGCAGCTCTGTTTACAATAGCCAGGACATGGAAGCAACCTAAATGTCCATTGACAGTTGAATGGATAAAGAAGATGTGGCCCATATATACAATGGAATATTACTCAGCCATAAAAAGAAATGAAGTTAGAGTTATTTGTAGTGAGGTGGATGGACCTAGAGTCTGCCCTACAGAGTGAAGTAAGTCAGAAAGAGAAAAACAAATACCGTATACTCACACATATATATGGAATCTAAAAAAAAAAAAAAGGGTTCTGAAGAACCTAGGGGCAGGACAGGAATAAAGACGCAAACATAGAGAATGGACTTGAGGACACAGGGAGAGGGAAGGGTAAGCTGGGACGAAGTGAGAGAGTGGCATGGACATATATACACTACCAAATGTAAAATAGATAGCTAATGGGAAGCAGCCGCATAGCACAGGGAGATCAGCTCGGTGCTTTGTGACCACCTAGAGGGGTGGGATAGGGAGGGTGGGAGGGAGAGAGACGCAAGAGGGAGGAGATATGGGGATATATGTATAGGTATAGCTGATTCACTTTGTTATACAGCAGAAACTGACACAACATTGTAAAGCAATTATACTCTAATAAAGATGTTAAAAAAAAAAGAGAAAATAAATAGGCATGCTAAATCCCAGCTTGCATTTGTTCCAACTGTTGCGGCAGCAAATGGAGACCCACATTAGGTGCAGAACATTATTTTGATTACTGTTAAGCATTCCCAGAAATGCACCTGATTGTCAGGTTTTCAATTCTGCCAGTTCATTTGAAATGATCTGCTTCCATCTAGCATGGGCTTTGTAAAGCATAATTACAGATTTATATATAATGTTTTACATATGACTCATTGTTCTTAGAATTTAGAGATTATTAGACCTACATTATCAGAAATACAGGCAGCACAGAAATACATCCAAATTTGAACTAGTCTTCTGTGAAGTGAATATCTCTTGAATAAGGCAAATAGACTCTTGAGTATGTAGAATAACTGAAATTTTAAAATTGTCCACTCAGACCTCATTTTAGTCATTATTAAACATTTTTCCAGACAAAATCTTTTACAATTACCTAAATTGATGAGAGTACTTCATTTCCTCTCCCTGTCCACCCTTTGGTAACTGTGATCACGACCAACAGAATTACAGATTCTACATTTTTAAAGATGTGCAAAATGTTCAACTCTGTGAAAATGTATAGGCCAAAATGCTGGGAAAACACCCCAAAAATATTTATTCTAGTTTACTGGACCCGTGACTTTATAAGTTACCCCATGGGCTTTAATTTATAAGCTTTTCAACTTAAGATAAAATTGTGTAGTTATTTGTTTCATTGTGTTCTCCAAAGGACTATTAGCTCAACGGGGGCAGGGAACCTTTCTATTTTGATCTCCATTGTAGTCTCAGAGATGATCATACTACCTGGTACATAATTAGCTCTCAACAAATATTTATTGAATGAATTAATGAATTCTGTGAAATTGCCAGAATATAGCAGCACAGAACGTGAAGAAGTTAAATGTCATGGTACCTAGACCCTAAATACTAAAAAAGTTATCTAACCACATGTGACTTTCCTGGTTTTCCATCTCAGGAAATATGCCAAAAAATGTGAATAATTCAAGGCAAATTAACTTCCATTACTAGAAAAACAACTTACCTGCAACACTAGAGTAAAAACAATATCTTTATATGTAAATAGTTGTTCATCGTTCCCACAATTATTTGAGTTCAGCTTTGATAAGTGCTAGTGTTAGTTAGTATTACTCTCCCTATCATTTTGCTCCCAAAGAAAAGATTATACTGATTATATTGATCTATATGCTTTATTAAATAACTTACCTTTAAGCGCTTCTGTTTTTGGGGGTCCAATATCCCCAGGACCCATTTCAGATGAACTATTTGACTGGAGGAGAGGAAAAAAAGTCCAACATTCTGTAATTACTACTTGTATAACTTGCATGACCAGTGATACTTTAAATTTGATAAGCTTTCTGTCTACAGTTTCATTAAGCTTCCCAGTTTCATTATCCATTGCTATTATATAACCAAGAGAGAGATGTCAAGTATTATTTTGAATGTGTTTTCCTCGTCCTTTCAAAAAGTATTTGGTTTAATAGACCCCAAGGCAGAATTGATCTTTGATCAGACTAAATCCCCAGTTCCAGCCCAGTGAATCATGTATTCTTGGGGCTAGGGAAATGAGCCACATTCAACTCTTTGAAGGTTAGAACCAAGTGTTAGAATAAGAGCATCGACCCCTTTGGGTTTTGGCAGTTGTCTGGTCATAGTTAGATGGGGGACAGAAGTATGGGAAAGTTTTATAGAAATAAAAACAAACCACTAAATAGAGTCTAAGTATTTAGACATCAAACAACTCATTCAAAAGTCTTGATAATAGGGCTTCCCTGGTGGCCCAGTGGTTGAGAGTCCGCCTGCCGATGCAGGGGACACGGGTTCGTGTCCCGGTCTGGTAAGATCCCACATGCCGCGTAGCGGCTAGGCCCGTGAGCCATGGCCACTGAGCCTGCACGTCCGGAGCCTGTACTCCACAATGGGAGAGGCCACAACAGTGAGAGGCCCACGTACTGCAAAAAGTCTTGATAATAGCTTTTACTTCTTTCCACTGTGGATATGAAATACTTCTTCGTCCCATCACCTCATGACACTGAACTAGTGGATTTAAACAGCAACGCCAGATTAATAGTGTCAAATACATGCTGAACCACTTCAGTCTTCATGCAAGTTCAGGTTTATTTTGCCATCTTCTGTACGAGCAGACATACCCACTGTATGGGACAGGGACAGCAGACATACTGCCCCTGTCTCACCAGTAGAAGAACAGTTTTCTTTTTTCAGCTAAGCATAACACACATTACACCATCAGTATAGCGGCTACCACCTTATTGGTCCCTGTCAGGAGTTCTTTGCTACTTCAAGAAAATCCCAATTTTTTTTTTTTTACTAATTGTTCTTGCTGATGTCAGACTCTGCAGCTCCAATTCACTCCATTGTTGGCAGTCAAAACTTCTTATTGCGTGGTCCTGGCAAACTAGCACCTCCAAGTCTCCTTTTCCAGGCCCCTGCCCTTATCTCCCAAGACTTCAGACAGGTACACAAGTTATAATGTCCTGTTTGGGCAAGAGGAATAGGGTCTGTCCTTGAAAGCTGGTGGAAAATCTCATCTGTGTCTTTTTTATGCTAAATTATTCCAACAGCTATAAATTATAAATTAATCTGTAACATCTCAAAGGTTTCTGAGACGGTAACTATTGCTTTCCAAAAGGTGCTTCAAAAGTGCTATGTCTGCTGTTAAGGTGTTACAGGCATTTTTATGCGAAAATCCCAAGACAATATTCTGTACATTTTTTCTTTTAAATCACTAAAGTCATGTAAACTTGCAGTGCTTTTCTTAAGTTATTAATCACCAGAATATTAATACTACTAATAGTCAATCAGGATAAAGCATTTTTTGGAACCTGAGGGCCTCTTGTTTTGTTGAGTGCTTCCTTCCTCAGCAAATTAAAATCCATAGAAATAAAAACTTGAACATTCCTGACAAAAATTGGTATGCTCTCCATGGACAGTGATGATTGGATCAGTATATCAGAACAGAGGAGGAGTTTCAGTTTATTAACTTAATGAAAATAAATGATTAAAAATAAAATTTTCAAGTGAAAAGATGGATCAGGATAATAAAAACATTAAAAACCATCTGGCAATTGTTTCTATAAGAATATCATTTCAGCCTCTACCATGAATCTACATCCAATTATCCGAGCAATTTATCATTGCAATTCATGCCACTTTGCAATATGTAAGAGAGTTAGAACATCCTTGTTACGTTGTCTGTGCAGAGTGGTAAACCTTATTTCCCAAGGTCTTAAGATCCCCTCGTGAGACAACAGACATACTCCCTTCCCAATCTCCTATATTCTTAACAATTCTTGGTGGGGATAGTGTAAATAAACCAATGTGTATGCAACAGTTCTAAATGCTGTTTTCAGTGAGTGTATTTTCAAAAACACATCGCTCTTGTAATCGTTCTACAGTTCCCAAGATTAATACATGTTAAAAAATGAAAAGCCGTTTCTCTCCTGGAAAATTTAATAGTTCATTAGAAACATTAATTTTTCTCACACTGTTCTGATACCCCAATTCTATATCCTCTAATGATATCTGTACTGTGGTGGCTGAATGACAAATTATCTCAAAATTGCTTATAACCCAGATATACAGAATCATACATTATTATAGTAATTTTCCTCTATATATTGTACAATTTGGTAAAATGATTCTAGTCTCTCTATTCTCATAAGCACTCATCTTTCCCCTGGAAACACCTCTAGATGCAAATAAACATCTCCATACATAAATGCCAAAGGAAAGAGGCTTTGTAACCAGGGGAAATTCTTATCTCCGAATCTGTTCTAGTTACAAGTTCCACTTTCCTTTATTCCACATCGCTGTTTCTCTATATGACATACTTTTATCTATATGACATAACTTTACCTTTTCTATACTTTTTCTATATGACATAACTTTACCTTTCCCAGTATTTATCATTCTATTTCAGCTCAGGTAGCAAAAACGAGTTTGCCTTCCCAAACTTATTGATATATTGCACTTAACTTTTTCTTCTGTGTCCTATTTGTTGTATATATTCAATGCTGTTACTAATGGCCTGCTTTTTCTTTCCTTCTTTGGCCTCTACTAAGAATTTTCCCTGACTAAAACTTCTTGGTTCCTAATCCTGGCTCCAAGCTGACTCAGTTCCCCTCCTCTACAAATTTTATTTCCATTGCATGTCTTACTTGATTCTGCCCTGTTCCACATAACTTCTTCCTGGAGGGTGGAAGCTCAATCCAGTGTCAATCTGGTTGACACTGGATTGGCTGCCTATTTAGATTATACTACTTGTTTTTCCACACTATGGCAAAAAAGAATTTGGGGAGGAGAAAATTGATATGTATGTTCATGGGAGATGGTTTATTCATGGTAAACTGGTCATGATAACAAAGAACATTAAAATAGTTTAAAGCAAATTGATATATTCTGCTACAGTACGAGACTTTTAAAAATAAATTTATTTATTTTATTTATTTATTTTTGGCTGCCTTGGGTTTTCATTGCTGTGCGAGGGCTTTCTCTAGCTGCAGGGAGTGGGGGCTACTCTTCGTTGCGGTGAGCGGGCTTCTCACTGCGGTGGCTTCTCTTGTTGCAGAGCACAGGCTCTAGAGCGCAGGCTCAGTAGTTGTGGCATGCGGGCTTAGTTGCTCTGCGGCATATGGGATCGTCCCGGACCAGGGCTCAAACCCCGGTCCCCTGCATTGACAGGCAGATTCCTAACCACTGCGCCACCAGGGAAGCACCTATAGTATGAAACTTCTGCCGCAAGTTTTGTTTGCCTTCACATAGGCAGTCTGATAGCCAAGGTTTGCTAATATCTAAGGAGGAGGAGAATGGAGAGCAGGGGGTTACATGGAAGTATTTTGAGTATTCTGAGCATACTGGCAGTGACTGTGGAATGGCCAAAGGTCAATTCATGCAACTCTCCTACCCAAAATGAAGCCCATCTTGCTGCTGCAAGCCTCCCTGAGGTTCCCTGTCCTGACCCCAAATGCTATTCAACTAATTAGATTCCACAGCTCTATCTGAGCCGGAAGTCAATTTTAATAGGCTGAAGCTAGTTTGTCCCCTTATTTGGCTCAAAATATTTTCTGTTCTGCTTTCATGTGTAGACAAATTTTTTTAAATTAAGGGTTTTGGGGGCCTAATTAATATTGTCTAATTAAAATTATTTGTTTTATAGAAATATTGTCTAGGCTTAAAAATCCTAGCTATCACTCTTTGTAATGGTTGTCAAGCATTCTTTGGCCATAAATATAAATGACAAACATTTTGAAATGTGGCTATTGCTACCATAGTTACAGAACTATTTTCCTATTCAGTGTTCAGGTAGTTTAGAAAAAATATAATTATGTTTGCTAGAAATGTACTAGAGGTTATACTCTCATGCATAATCAGTCCTGCAACCTCCTGTGAATGTATTAGATGACAGAGCCCTGCTCCCACAGCAAGGTTGGAACAAGTTGTTCAAATACAGTTTCACAACTTAGTGTGATCAGAGCTAATTCATCTGTAAGTATACAACCACCTGTCCGGACTCAAAGTCATCCTCTTCCGGATAAAGCAGCTTAGAGAGAGCCTGAAGAGCTGAAGCTGAGGAAATGGTTTCCATTTCCATATATTCGGATTCCATATTTTCAGATTCCATATTCTGAGGAAGAAGATAATAGAAAGAGGTATTTTAGTCTTCTATTTTATTTAAGACATGAAGATTTTTCTAAATTGTCATATCTCCCTCCTTTCCCTGGGTCACTCCATTATCTCTTATTCCTCCTTGAAAATCCTTGTAAACTCCTTCAAATATATGTATTTTGCTGACTCACAGACCTGGGGCAGCAAGTAAACGCAAGTATACAGCTTGCTTTATTAAAACTTCGTGCTCAATCTAACAAGCATTTCTTGAGTACCTACATAGTGGTTCTCAGATTTTAGTGTGTTTAAAGGTCACTTGGGGAGTTAGTTAAAAATGCACATCCTTAAACTCTACTCCAAGAGAAAGGGTTTGTCAGTGTCATGTAGAATGTACATTATTATTTGGAAACATACTTTTGTAGACTACCTTTTTATCTGTCTAATATATGCTGTCTAGCTTGTATATTCCTATTTAGTGAACTGAAAAGGATGTTTGTTGGGGGGAATATCTCAAGGAACTTTACTCAGTTCACACTTTTGCCTCAGGCAGGCCGGTATCTTCTGCTTTATTTAAAATTTTAATCAACCCTTGATGATGCCTTGCATTATATTGCTGTTTGAGACCTCTAGTGGGTTGGTTCATTAACTTTAGTGAAAGTTCACACAAAATAAATTGCTTTTTTCTGATTATAATAGTGATACTATATATGTCTATTGTGGAAATTTTAGGAAATAATACATTAAAAGTAGAAATAAGAGAATCACAACTACTTGTAATGCTACCAACCAGACATCAGTCTTTTAAATAATCTCTACCGTTATATTTGGAGTAGGAATTCAGGATCTTTAAAAATCTTGGGAGTGTCACACTTTAATGAATAACCTGAATAAAGACTGTAGAATTAGGCCTATTGTTAGTGATTTGGGCATAAATATAATAGGAATCTTTTCTACACTTCTGCTGATATTTTTTGAATATTATTTTAGAAAATTAATTCACAGGAAGCTTTTCTTTAGTGCTTTTATTAAATGATCCACTAAAATTTTTGTGTTGTGCCTAGAACAGTAATACAAAGGAATTCTCAAAAGTGTGCTGGTACAATCACCTCTCAAAATCAATCTGCATGTAAATGGTGTTTTACAAACCTTTTGTTTTACTATTATATTTTACCATTATCTTGACTTTCCTTTTTAAAAAGGAAAACTGATCTGAATGCTTATCGGAGATGTCAAGGGTACGAAACAAATGTTAAATTGCCCTATAGATCTAGCACAGAGGCAAGTATATCATAGTGGTTAAGAGTAAGGGCTCTGGAGTGATGTTGCTTAGATTTGTATCTATCGTTTACTTCCTAGCTCTGTGACTCTGGGCTACATCATTTAAACTAATAATGATGTCGAATAACTTAATGATAAAACTCATTACATTGAAAACTCATTAAATTGGAAAAGGTGAAATAAGAGCCGATTAAAACAGTCTTCTCTCACAGTATGGTCTGGTAGTCTGCTATGGAAATGAATAATTGACACATTAAATTAAACAAAGAGGCTTCTGTTTATATTTTTAAAGTCCTAGATGATTATGTGTTCATTAAATATTTACTTAACATTAAAAGCAAAAAGTTTATTGAAACATTTTTTACCTTTGACAGTGAAAGGGGAAAATGGATCCAGATATCAGATGCAATGATATAAATGGTATTTTGAATTGAAATTGTACAATGAGACTTTTAAAAAACAAATATAGCCAAAATTGTTTTACTATTCCAGCATTACCTACCTTACAATATTGTTGTGATGGCCGTATTATCCACCATAGGTAAAAGAGTTTGCTGAAATATGAAAAGCTTTATAAAAATATCATTATTATTTGGCACATAGTGACAGCACCCACAGGTACACGATGATGAGGCTTGCTAGAGCTTAATGGTGGGCTGGTGAGAAGGGAAGAAACTGGAACCAGTAGAACTAACCCAGAAGAAGGGTATTCAGAAGTGCCAAATATAGCATCTGAGTTAGCAATCAGAGCTGCTATTCACGCGTGCTCATGGGCTTGGCAGTGACATGGCAGCGAGAGTTTCAGGACGTGAGCAGTGTTTCGGCAGAAAGGTTGAATAGCCATGGTTACAGGCAGGCCTATTTAGGTAAAGTAGGATCCTGGTCCATAGGTGGGGGTATAGGAGGCAGGGATTCTTGAGTATTATGGGGGAGTCGGCAGCTAGAGGAAGGTTCAGAATAAGGCTGGGCTCAACATCACAGCTATAAAAGAGAAAAGGAAACAGGCACTCCATCAGAGGCTTTCTAATGTCCCAGTGGAGGTTACGAAGGAAGGCTGTGGTTCAGTAAGTACACTGGATACTGTATTTAGGAAAAGCAGATTAATTCTAAATCCCCATCAGTTGGGAAGTAGCTCTCGCCTGGTTCTCATTTGGTAAGAGGCAGGGCAGTGTGGGCGGTGGGAAGCTACACCTAGAGGCTGAGCGTCTTCAGTAACTGGAGCTGGCAGGTAGTCAGCAGTTGGTGAATACTGAATGAAGCATGACTAAATTCATACGAATGTTGATTTCAAAATAGTCACCTTGGAAGGTTATACATTGATGTAAATTATGCTATCAATGCTCAAAATATTTTGGAACTGCCTTCATATGTATCACCAAGAAAACAGGTATCACTGTGGTATCACTCAGTGTGATTACACATCAGATTTGTCTCCAAGTGATTTCTAGATACATCTAGATATCACATCTACTTTCAAAATATGAAGATTTAATACTTTGAGGATGTTCAAAAGAATGTGCTGCAAGCCTCAAGGCGATTCTAAAAGAGTAGCTTCAGTAATTTGAGCAATAACAACAGCATTAGAATAAGTGGATAGCCTCCCAAAGTGACTGCTTTGAAGGGAATACCACTCCTTGGGATGTAAGACAAATCATTCACAATAATTTATAGTATGCTCTTTATATCTGAAGTATATTAGGAATCAGACTTTTTAAATTCCAAATTATGCTGGCATACAATGGCATAGGTTCATACTTAGCTAAATTGGAGTAGAAATATCATAATAAAATTGGCACTCCAGCAAAAATAATTTTTGCCATATCAACCATAATAATCATCTATAAACACAAAATAATAAATCACGACAAGTTTGTTGATATTGTATTTTGACAAACAAAAGAATCAGCAATACTTTGTAAGTAACTAATCAAAGAACTCAAAGTATCAAAAGAGAAAAACAACGATCTGAATTTTTAGAAAACTATATTCTAAATTCAATGGAAATGAAGATTCTACTAGCTTTTTTAGAAGTCTAACAAATTAAGAATAATTTGTTAAACTATTAAAAACATATTAAAGTTCATTTGACAAATACATAACATCGGAAAAATTAAAGCAAGATGCCTTTTTATGAACTATGCAGTGTTATTTATTTGTAGGACTATCTTTTATTTGTAAATTTGATATAAAGTTCATCTTGAGCCTGACAGTCAAGGTCCTTCAGGATTTAACCCCAACCTAATTTTCTGCCCTTCCCTCCTATTATTCTCCTACCTGTAATCTGCATTCTGTTAAAAACCGAACTGCTAATTAAACATACCCTATAATCTCCTGCCTTTGTACTTTGGAATGTATTCTTCCTTTTGCTTAGACTACCCAGATAGTATAGTGTAGTGATTAAAAAAAAAAATTCTGGAGCCACACTGCCTGTTTGAATCTGTCATTGCCACTTAAATAGGCCAAGAATAAATTTAAGGCAAATTTAAGCAGGAACTTCATTTTAAAAATATATTGCTAAATCTTTTATTTGAGATTTGGTTATTTAGAAAGTAAATTTTCTAGACCCTTCTTTTTTCTCTCACTCTCTTTTGCTAGGCCAATTCCAGTGGCAGAGTTTTCTAGACAGTGCTTTTAATTTTTTCCACATCAACTTGAATCCTTAGGGCCTTCATAGGTGATTGGGGTATCTCTTTCGGTACTAGCCACAATGAGCTAAAGAGACAGATGCTTCAGAACCAGCTCTTTACCAAAACATTGGAGCCATTTAGGGACTAAACAAGCTCAACCAGGATGACTCCAGACTCACGGCACCATAACAATAATATCAATAACCCGAGATTAAGTCAGACTCTAGTTAAGAGGGCTGGGGTCTCAGCAGGAATGGCTCTTCGACCTGAACTAATTGGAGAGAAGTCTAGGTTAAATTAGTGAAAATTCTGAATTACACACTATTCAAAAAGAAATGCCATTTTATTAATTCAAATTTATATAGCAAATAAAATCAGGGTAATAAAGAATCACCAAATAGTATCATTTGGGAACTTGGTTAATAGGTAAACACATATCCCTATGTAGAGTACTGACTGCTTATAGCTGAATGATTTCAAAGTATTAAAAATTCATTTACTCTCTTAAATAAAATTGGCATTTCTTCTGCAACTTTATTTATATAGTACCTTATTTAACAATTCCTGTATTAAAATTCTTCTGAAAACACAAAAGTAAACATCATCTATGCTTATGTCTGAGTTAAATTATAATATACTGGTTGGTTTTTTCTTACATTTTTTGACAACTATACACATCAATGATTCCCTGACTATTAAAACTAATTCATTTTGACTTGTTTTTACAATACCAAGAATAATTTCCTTTTTTAGGTCTCTAACTTTCACTGCTATCGAATGTACCAAGTCATAAGTAACTATGGGGACTTAACAAGAGTTTTTGTTACAAATTTAAAATATATTTAATGGAAGATGATTTTTGAAAGTACCCGGAATATTTCATAAACCTAAATGTCAAGAAATGAGCCTCTTGATTTAATATTTCCTCTACCCATTATTCTTTGTTTTAGCCAAACTTAATACACTTGCCAACAATTTTTTTGTTTCTGTCTCATTCCCATACTCCACCTCTATCTAAAAAGTTGTTGAGACAGCTCATTTTCCTTCAGGCCTTTGAAATTTTCTCCCCAAGTCAACAGGCCTGTTTTCTTCATTTCTTCAGGAAATAGTCTCTGTTCTGAATGCCTGTCACAACAAGAAGCTCTTAGGAGAAGAGGCCCCTACCTCTCTGCTCAAACTCTGTACTCTCCCCTCACTCAGATTTTATTTTTTTGTCACAGTCCCTTACCTTTTGACGGGTACAGTCCAACGACATATAACACTTACTCTCCCAATCAGCCCTTGGTGAGTAGCAGGTTTGGTAGGGACAAGTAGGCTTTTGCACACCACGCTCCAGCCCCCCAAGTGCGGTCTGACTGCTTCTCACTCCTCAACGAATCTGACCAACTGCGGTTGCAACTCTCAGGCCACAGCGTTCACATTCCGACACACAGGGCATTGTCCACGAAATACAGGCCATTTTTTTCAGCCTGAACAGCGTTATACCCCCTAAAAAATATATCCCAACCAAGGCAACCTGGTCCAAGACAAATCATGCCTGTACATGTAAAACAGAAGATAACAGTGGCTACTTCAACTTAGAGCACCCTGATCTACCTACAAGGAAATAATAGTTTTCACTCTCAAATTAGCGTTACAACAGTAAGTGTATGTAAGTGTCTAGAGAAAAACGTCGGGAAGGTTCGCATGTTCATTTTGGCCTTCTGACATTCCATCCGCATCCATCCCTTGTCTGGTAAAACTGCCCCATCTCACTCACATTCTGATAGACTGAGTTTTGTTAAAGCTGAATCCTGCTTCTAGAGCGTCTAGGGCAGGGGGATTTAGAGAACGGGTCTGTTCTATCGGCAACTTGTGGCTATTTTAGGGTATCTCTCAGAGCCGTAAGTATCTAGAGTTCTCCCTAATTTCTCTGATAGCTAAGGCATCTGAGGACCCCTTCTTTCCCCCTCCTAAGGTTCGGGTTTCCTCACCTGGGTCAGTTTTTGGGTGGCTCTTTAGGATCCAGAAATACACTGCGGAGAGCTCTGCGTCCCTCTGTTGCCTGGGTAACAACGTCGTTTAAGATCGCCGCCAACCCCCACCTCCAGGTTCCCGCTTGACTTTCCTGGCCAACCATAGAAGAGTGTCCTTTGAAACCTCACGAGAAGTAACCAATCCGGGCGCGTGCCAGCTGTGGTCAATGGCCGCCCTTTCCAGTTAACTAGGTCGACCCCTTTTAAGCCTGGGTCTCAGCATCGCTCCAGCGGAGAAGCGCCCACTGCGCAGGCTGGCTCTTCTCGGCCGCAGAAGTTCCGAGTCCGCCTCTCTGGCCGCTCCGCAGTTTTAACTGCCTTCGCCTTTACTTCGCAGCCACCAGAGTTACCGCCACCACCGGTTTTCGTTTGTTCAGGAAATCAGCGGGCTCCCTCACTGTTACTTTCTTCCTGCACGTGTATTCTAGATCGGACCGCTAGTTGTCCAGCAGATCCCGAACAGCGTGGGCAGAAAGGTAGGCTCGGTGGCCGGGGGGTTTGAGGAGGTTTTGTGGCGGCTCCACACACGCTCCCCACGCCCCCTTTCCGCGCTGTGACAGAGACACGTGTTGTGGTTCCGTCCCGGCTCAGCGCTTGTGTGTGTGTTTGTGTCTATGTGTGTGTAGGGTGGGATCGCGCTTTTTTTCCTCTGCTGTGGGCAAGCCTTCTGGATCCGGAGCCCCAGGGGGAGCACCCCTACGGCTGCCAAGCAGCTCCAGCGAGGCACCGGCTGGAGCTACGCGTCGCTCCCACTCACGGGAACGTCGCCGGACCCGGTGCCCCGCTTTTCCCGCTTTGGAGTGCAGAAACGCTGGCGCGGCGCCAGTTTGCTCTGCTTGGCAATCGGAGTGTTTGCACTTGGCCTAGAGGTACAGTTGTGACCCTAGTTTCTCAGGAATTCCGTGGCTTGGTTTTAAATAAAAGGGAAACAGAATAGATGGCTTGATAAATGTTTGGAGTATTCAAAACTGATTAGCTATACATATAACCCCTTCCATGCCCTCAAGAGGAATCCTAACAAGAAGGCCAGGAATCTGGACCTGAGCTGTGAATTTTTGCCCCCTTGGATGTACGGATTTGCCCCTGTAGGTTTCTCTGTGCTGGAGTAGCAGTCATCAACCACAATATGAGTTAGGTTGAATGTATTTTTTTAACTAATAAATATGGACATTTTCAAAAGGATATACTCTAAAAAATATATGAATCATAGCATATTCAAGCAGATTCAAGTGCCATAATAACACTCACGGTGATTAGCTTTCTTTTTGAATGTCTTTTCCAAAGATTATATGAGTATGTATTCATTTGTAATTTCCATTTTTTATAAAGGAAGCAATTAAGTTGATTGGGAGAATAAAAGCTATAATTGGTCTGTATTAGCACATTCCCCCTTTTCAAAGCACACAGGTTGTCTTATTTTCTGTCATTCTAAAACATTAACTAGACCCTCTTTTTAAAATTATAAAGTATTTCAGACAGAAAATTACAGACTATTTATACACCATCGTCCATGTACCCACGAAAGATTTAACAATTGTTAACCTTTTGCCATATTTTCATTAGATATTGTTTTTTTTTAAAGAACTAAAACATTACACTAAAACTAAACATAAAACTAAAACACTACTCTTTGTACCCCTTCCCAATCCCAGAGATATTTGTTCTTCTGAAGTTGTTAAATATTTTTCCTGTGTTTTTAAGTGCACTCAAACATAGGTGGCCATAAATGATTTGTAATATATTGTTTTGTATGTCCTTTGACATTTTCATAAATGGTATACTGTACTTACTCTTCTGCAACTTTTTGGGGGTCAACGTTGTTTTTGAGATTTGTCTATACTGATAAATGTAGATAAAGTTAGTTATTTTAGGGGGGATAAACTGGGAGATTGGGATTGACATATACACACTACTATATATAAAGATAACTAATAAGAACCTACTGTATAGACAGGGAGCTCTATTCAGTGCTCTGTAATGACTTGTATGGGAATGGAGTCTGGAAGAGAGTGAATATATGTATATGTATGTCTGATTCACTTTGCTGTACAGCAGAGATTATTAACACAACATGGTAAATCAACTATACCCCAATTAAAAAATTAATTTAAAAAATTTAAAAAATGAAATAACACATATATAACTCACATAAATACTAAAATGTGAAGTGACTTTTATTTTTTACACAATTATTTCAGTAACACAGAAATATTCAAAAATGCTATCTTGCCATTTAATATGTACAGTTTTCATAGGTTTCTCCCGGTAGACTTACTGCACAATCCAGGAATAAAGCTTAAAACAGAAAGTCATTCAGGAGTAATAAAACCTAAATTAAGAAAAGAAAAAAAAGTTGCTTTTATTGCTGTAAAGTAGCCCTCATATAACTATGCCCCTTAAAAATATCTCCATTCCACTATTGTTGTTGGACATTTAGGTTGTTTCAAGTATACAAATATTCACATAAATCATACCACTAAAAGAGGTACCTAAATTAGGCAAATTCATAGTCACAGAAAGTGAAATAGAGGTTACCAAAAAGTAAAATAGAGGGGCTGGGGGAGTGGGCAATGGGAAGTTATTGTTCAATGGGTGCAGAATTTCTGTTTGTGGTGATGAAAAAGTTTCGTAAATATTGAATAGAGAGTGGTGATGGTTAAACAATGTTGTGAATGTACTTAATGCCACTGAATTGTACACTTAAAAATGGTTAAAATGGTAAATTTTACATTATATTTTACCACACAAAAAAATTACAAACATAAGAATTATGCTTATTTTTCAAAGGCATACCTTGAAAAATATACTTGATGACTAGTTTTTTTGTGGAGTAAAGCCCTGAGAAAAGTGAGATTTATTTTAAAAAATAAACTTGAATTAAGTTATATTAGCCAGATCTATTTTTCCTTGTAAAATGATATTTTTTTGAAATCTTTAAATGACTACTATTGCTTCATGCTTGTATAAGATTTTTATGAATACTAGTATGCTTCAGAAGTTTCCAGTTTTTCATTTGTTGTTTTTTTTTTTTTTGCTCTTTTTCTCCAAGGTTTTGAGGGAGGATTCTTCTAAAAGTGAGTAGGCCTTGAGGCTGTACTTTGCATTTGAATGCCATTCCTCTTTCATTTCTTAGACTAGTTCTCTCCAGTGATGTACTCTCTTCTTTCTCCTCTCCCCTCTCCTAATCCTGTTCTTTCACCGCTGCCCTTTTGGGTCCCTCTGCCTCCTTTCCATTTAGCCAAGCCTTCTCTTTGGGTTTCTCTGCCCTCCACTCCCGTCCTCTATTGAGTCCCCTCCCCTGCCTTGTATCCTTCTCAGCTCCTCCAAGATTTCCCCTCTCTTGAGTCCTTCTGCCCACCCTCCCCTGTGGTCTCATCCCTGGTCTTTTCTTTTCCACTGTTGTAACTGCTAAAGGCATTCACTAAAATAAGACTTGTTTCATGGAAATGTACAGTCTTCTCTGCAGTGTCAGACTTGTAATATTCGGAAAGTTGGTCTTAATTTTGGGATTTGAAAAAACCTTTCTAGCCTTTAAAATAAGATTCTGACATTATGGCCTTGACAAGTTATAGTATGAGTACGAAGGGGGAGAAAAACACTTAACGTGAAAGATAATCAGTGAGTTATATTGCTTAAGATGTTTAATATGAACTGAAAACTAATGCACAATTTTCCATAGCTCTATATTTTATTTTGGCATAAAATAAAATGATTACCATTAGAGGTTTGATCCCTTCCTATTTCCTTGAAAATGGCTGTGCTAATTTCATCTCTCCCTATCGATTTCTCTCTGGGGACTCAAACATTTAGGATAAAACATTGGTAACTCAGTTTCTACTTCCAGAGTTGGCATCAATAACTGTCAGTGCAAATAAGGACCTTATTGTACTTTGAGGCTTCAATTTTTCTACTTTCTTCTTTAGTTCCATTTCTGTAATGCTTTCTTGGTGGAAAAGGGGTTTCTTCAGTGATTTGGTACTTTTCCTTTGCTTCTCTGCCTCTCTCCTTAGTTCGATAATTAATATGTTAAGGAGCCATATGTATCATCAGAAGTTACTATTTATTGGAATGGTTTTATACCAGGACTAATCACATTGCATGAATTTTCAGGCCAGGTTGTTTAGTCATGATGTTCTTGAGAAGGTGAACTGAATTCGTGGAATGGTGAATGGAATTCACCATTCACGTGGAATTCATGAATGGTTATCTAGTAACTAGGCATTTTAGGGAGAACGTTGTCTCCAAAGTGGATTTGCTTCCAAGAAGGCAGAAAAACTTTTTAATCCATTACATGGCTGAACTTCTATGCTAGTCACTTCTTGACAGTTATTTCTCAAAGTAATGTGGGGGAATAATGGCATGAGTGATTTCCCCCAAAATCATTTATACTTTGTGAGACAGAAGCCCCTAAACATTTATGCTGAAATGACCTATAATAGGTACCCAGGCTTGAACTTATTTTGTTTCTGCTCTTTGAGATGCAGACTTATCTTCCTAATATGTGTTGCTTAAGCTAATGTTACAGTGAAAGTATTGTGTTCAGTTCCTTCACTTACTATTTGTTTGACCTTGGGAAAGTAATTTAGTATCTTAGAGCCTCAGTTTCTTCAACTATAGAATGGAGATCAAAATACCTTTACGGTTTGTTGTAGGTAATTAAAAGATGAGGAATGTCAGATTCGATAAGTGCTTTTATCATTTCCCTTTTATTCAAGAGATTCAAGAACTTAAGTGGTAAAATGGTGTGTCCTGAAATGACCTACCATCATTTATTGATCCTCAGTCAGGTTTCCTACTAACCAGAACACTCCTAGGACCTATAAAGGGTAGTACAAAAAGAAGATAATTTGCATGCTGATAAATGAGATAGTTGTGTAGTAATTTTTTTGAATTGTAATTTGAAATGCAATTTATGTACACTCTCTGGGCCAGCTTAGAGAGTGCCCCATAAATACCCCTGATTGACTGATCCTTCACTGACAGTGAGGACAACCCCAGCATTATATTTTAGAAAGCTTTCATA